TTATGCTTCCCCCACATTTCCACATGCAAGAACTTAAAATTTTCAACTTTGTATTTATTTAATCATCCCTTATAAACTCCTAATGATTGGTTAGTTCCCTCACTAATTTAATTATATTATTATTGCGCAGACAATGAGTAGAAGGGAAAAGGGAGAATACAAAGAACCAACGACCATAATAACAACCACAACTACAAAAGATGCTCATATTTAGACTCTTTTGTTATTTTCCGTCGCCCAGTGTCATATATTTATATTGGAGCTTCGATTAATTTAAATTTGTGTCGTATAAAGTCTATTTGAGTAAACAACATTTTCTAACAAGATTTTTTTTCATATCTAGAACTCGAACCTGAAACATCATAATGGTAGAGGCATCCTATTAGGGGCGAAGCTAGAGACCACGGTACACGTTTGGCCGAACCAACTAACATTGGTCCAAACACTATATTTATCTTTTGAAAATCATTTAATATGTATAAACTTCAAATTCTGACTTCGCAACTGGGTTCTATGTATTCATACAACCACAACCACAACCCTAATTGGTGGTATATTTGGACTCTTTAAAAAAAGAGAAATGACTTAAAAGAGACTATAGAGATTGTGTCAAATTAATTTTGTTCTATCAAATACAGCTGGCTTTGAGCTTCTGTTTGTCTGTTGCCCCACCAAATTATAGATTCATTGAATTGTCAACTAACAGACAACCCATGATTGGCAATAGATTAATTAATTTTGAAAAATGTCCCTAAAGTTTTTAAAAGGTTACAATTAATTAGAACAAAATCATCAAATTCCAAGTGAATAAAGTTTATGTAGTAGTTGTTATAGTTATATAAGAAGAGCCTCTTATCTATGATGTTCAATTTATTGAAGAAGAAAAGGACTAGTCTCTTTTGTGTTATGTGTTGTCTATGGGGTAGAAATAAAGCATAATTGTTACAACTTACAAGTTGTAGATGCAATAATTTTGAAGTGAAAATGACATTCACATGGTGCAAATTAAATTTCTCAAATGAAAGATTGTTGTTATTTCAGTAAGTACATTTAAGGTACTGAATTGTTTTAGACTATGTGTTAGTGTCCGATTGATTTCTCATATGTCACTCAATTAATAATCATTATTTCAAATAGTTACTGATCTTCTTCTTGATTTCAATTATTTCAACAAAAACAGTAATTTTCTGAAATAATAAATACTAAATGAAATATTTTGATTTAATTGTCATATATGAGACTGGTAATCAAATGTGAAATTATTAGTCGTTGTCATCAGAAGCAACTAGGGGTATTAAATGGTCAAGTAGGCTAATTTGGACAGGTGAAAATAAGCTAAGTTAGTAAATGAATTGATCATTCAGACGCTCAATGATTACTGCGTTGAAATGAATTGAGTTAAAATGGGATATGTAATGGATCATAACCAACATTAACATATACACTCAATTTTTCACCGGTTAGGGGAGCATATTTTTTAAAAATTATCGTTGACAAAAAAAATTTATTGATCAATTTAGGTTACATAGATATATTAGCATCCGAGTTCAAATCTCTATTGCCACATTTTTACCAAAAAAAAAAGATATATTAGCATTACTTTTAAATGAATTGAGTCAAACGAACATAAATAGATTGAGCTGATAAATAAACAGATCATTAAACCGTCAAAACTTACACAAATAATGTTTTCATGGACAAATTTTACCCTTAAGCAGCTAATGGTTTTTGCAGGTATTTTAAAATTTAATATTTCATCAATAGCAAGATTTTTATTTATATAAGTACAGACATGATTTTGTAATGAAGATTGCATGAGCTGTGTGAATTAATGTAAATGATGTGTTAGCTATTTACAGACAAAGCTGAAGTAGCATTGATCTTGTCTCAGGTAAACTTAGGCACAACATGTCATAAAATCCAATCATTGATCAAACTCTATTTTTATACATAGAAGATGGGCTGGAATATCAACATTTTTGTTCTCATACTGCCACATGACCAAATATCGAGGGCTTGATTCAAAACAGACAATATCACATCATATTAAGCATATTTTTGATTTCTTTGAGTACAATAACTGGTATTAAAACCGATTAATCAGTGAAATGAGTATGAAAATGGCGAAATGATGACGCGGGACCCAAGTTTTTGGGAAAAAAATATTTGATTTTACCTACATACTCTGAAAAGAAAACCCAAATCAATTCTCATATCTCTTTTCAAGACTAAGTCAATTGGAAGAGATCATACTCTCTTTCACTTGTCATTTTTGGACACCTTTAACAAAAAAACATTAATTTAATTTAATTATCCTTTTTTATTCTGTAATCTCAATTTAAAATTGTTATGATTTTCCCTGATCTTCTCTTATAATTAGCTAGAATCATTTTTAGTGGAAAAAGTCTTTTCCACATTTCACTAATTTTTTCTTGGAGGAGATCTTTTGTATTTCTAAAAATTGAACATCTTTTTGTTCTAACATAACATCCAGTAGGTTATTTCTCATACTTTCTCTTAGGGATATTATTAATTTCTCATATCTAAGGCAATTGATTAAAACACTACATCTCTTTTAGTATACCTTCTTTGTCGTATAATTTAACAGCGTTCAAGCTTTACGTTTATTAGCTTCGGCATGATCCCAGATTATTTTGATCTCAACCAAAATTGGTATTACATGAAGAGTAAATTTTAGGAATAGCAAAGAAAGAAATCATATTAGCGTTCTATAGTTATAGTTTTACTATTTGTGCTCCATAGCCAAATTAATTTTGCTATGAAGCATCTGATTTGTATAAATCGGCCGCTAGTTCGTCTGCCTCTATGGAAATAGCATTTGTATATGTATATATTCTCTGTGTTAGGCTAGGGTGGCGAGCGATATTAATTGGGAGAGAGAGAGGATAGAAGCGAGCGAGAGAGGGTAGAGAGTGGAGAGAGGTGAATTGTATATGTATATCGGTTAGATAATTATATATATGTAACTACTATGTATATGTATCAATGATTGTGTTTGTATATCTGCTTGAAATTTGAATTCGTATACAATTGAATCGAGTTAAAACATTTGTATTTGTATATCAAATCTCTCTCTTGCTTTATATAAACACAAATTATACATCGTGTTTTGTATAATTTGTGTTTGTATAAAGCGAGAGAGAGAAAGGCAAAAGAGAACTGGACAAAGGAAGATTTATATTTGTGTAATTATAAGTGTATAGGATGGAGAGATATGTATTTGGATATACAATCTCTCTCGCTTTATACAAATACATACATTTGTGTTTGTATATAGTGAGAGAGGCGAGGGAGAGATGACTGAAAAAGAGGAGAGTGGCGAGTGAGATTCCAGAAAGAGGGAGAGAGGCAAATGGAAAGAAGTTTGTTGCGAATTGGAATTAAATGAAACTGTAGCTATAACATTTATTTTGAATTAATAGTTTGCTATAATGTACAATTTTTCCCTTATATGAATAGTTAGAGAAATTAATCCATATATAGTGCAATTGCATAAAGCCCAAATACATTTGGGTAAGTTCAACAACGAAAGCCCAGGTTGAGCCCGCTCGTCCAAAAAAGGTATATGTAAGAATTATTAGTAGGCTTTTATCCACCAAAGACCAAATATATTTGTACGAATACAATCAAAATGCAATATCATACTCTACTAGTTGAATATTATGGTCATTCACACAAATGCTCCTATTTTGGGTGGTGCTTAATTTTTGCCTCTCAAATTTATGTTTGTTAATCTTTGTTTTTCATCATTTTAAGTAATAAAAAAGTGTCCAAATGTATTTTTAACATCGAAATAATAAATAATTCTTCATACATCATAAGTTTATATTTCCACATCATAATAACATACACAAATTATGTCATAAAAAGCATTGCAAGTTATGTGATAAAAGACATTATTACATCAAAATACATAACTTCAGTCCTACACAATTTATATAAACTAAGATAAAAGTACAACGACATAACTTAATTCTACATAACTCATGTTGAGAGTATATTTTTTCTTTAATAATAAAAGAGCAAAGAGGACACTTTTTCCCCTTTTCTAATTTCGATAAAAAAATATTTTTCATTATAATAATATTTATCGTATGTATCAAACACCAAAAAATATTTTACTCCTAAAAAGCATTTTCCTAGAGATCAGTTTCCCTCCCCCAAACACACCCTATCAAAGTATCTTCCTTTTTTCTTCAAACTATATAATAAGAATCAACATTCTAGAAATTCAAAAGAATGTATTACACGTTCCTACGTAGTTCTCAAAACAATGGGTTGATTCAAACTGTGGTCAAATGACATGTTCTTTTGTCTCAAATGATCTGTCGTTATTTTTATAATTAATTATCTCAAATAATTTATTACTCTATAAAAATAAATTATTATTTTAATTTTATCTCAAGTAGTAATTATATGTGAAGACTACAGGTACCTCAATAAGATAAAATATATTTTAAGACATAAATTAGCATAAAAAAGTCAACCAAAGGATGTGATGTAGTGAATCATGTTTCTCCTATTTTAAACAGAGATTTCAGAATCGAGCTGTTGAGGCGCATCAAAAATAATTGAACTCCGAATGAAAACGAAAAAATATAAAAAGTCAAATCCCCCATTTCTTTTTCCTTTTTCAAATTTGTTCCTCCATTTAACTTCGTGGGTGAATCAATTCAAATGGTATTATTAAGTAAAAAATTAATTTAATTCCCAATTCAATATGCCACGTAAGCAAATCCCAAAGCTTTCTATTGGTTAAAAAACGTCACTTCCATGTAAATGGTTCCAATTTAATACCTTCCAACAACTCCAACTCGCCTCCTCGCGAGTGCAAACCAGTGCTTCCCCCTAAACAGACACGTGTCAATCTCGTATCGCGCGTTACAATTAAACGCACATAAAGCGATTGCTGTTTCCCATTTCTCCACGACCACAGTTCTAAAATCTGTGTGCTGACGGGTTTGACCTTCCCAAAAATATTTCAGAAATTAGACCCAAAAAAAGGAAATTAAATCCCAAAAATTCATCGGTTCTTCAAATATAACGGCTTCGATTCTGCTAATTAACAGTAGTTGACACTCAAATTCGTTTCATAATTCAACAAATAAAAGTTTAATTAGTATTTTTTATTTTTTTGGGTCAAAGATTTTAGGGGTTTTGTGGAAGAATTGTTGTGATGGTGGAAGAAACTGAAGTTAACGAGCTGAAGAAGACGGAGAATGAGAAGAGGAGAAGTGGATGGAAATTGGGTCGATCAGCAATTGGAGCGATTGTGGTGTTGATGATAGCATTTGGTGTGACTTTTTTGTATACACAAAAGGGAAAATCGTGTCCTTGTTTTCAGGTTTTTTTCTTTTTTTTTTTTTGCTCAATTCCTAATTTTATTTTTTAAAATTAGGGTTTATTTATCTTATTCTTGTTTAGTTTTTGTGTGATTAGAGAAATGTGAAGATTTTTATTGAAGCTTATTGATCAGTACTTGTTTAAATTCCTAGTAGAATGGTGAATCGTATGAATTGTGAAACTATAAATCAAATGGTTAATTGTGGGATTTTCTGATTTTGAAATAAGTTTTGAGTTTGTACCAGTTGTTAAAACTGGAAATATCAATTCCATGTTGTAAACTATGACATTAGTAATTCTTGTTGAAGATGAGCATTTTAATGATAAAATTGAGCTTTTGAACAAAGTGAGCTGATCACTTTATTGTTTTGTTTTGGTTTGGTGGGTGGATAAAGCTCCTTTAAATCCTGCTTTGGTTGCGCTTCTTCTGAGGCGAGGGTGTACCTTTCCGAGGCCCCACTTGTGAAATTACACTGGGTATGTTGTTGTTGGTGGTGGTGGATAGCTAAAGCATGATTCCTTTGGTACCAAACTGGTATGGTTCAATGATGGAGTTGTTAGGTTGTGTATAAAAGTGTTTAATTCATAGTTTTGGTTTAGTTATTGATAATTGAGAAGACACTCCGGCTGGTGAGTATCTTCCCTAAATTTATATCAACAAAATCTGGTTATTGGCTGAGCTGCTGGCGAAATTAAATTTTAGGAATCTCATGTTTACTGGAATTTTTAAAGATTGTGTATGCTTCTAGCTATTTGAATTATAGAATTCTCACTGACTGTTTGCTTCTTGACCTTAATGCAGGACTCTAGAAAATATACTGGGATAGTTGAAGACTGTTGTTGTGATTATGAAACAGTTGACACTATTAATGGGGCTGTGCTGCATCCTTTACTCCAAGGGCTTGTTACAACTCCATTTTTTAGATACTTTAAGGTATGATGCAAAATCTAACCTATATGAGGAGAGTGGCTTCTATATTATCACTTCTTCAATAAATATTAGCACCATATTTTTCTTGCTTGTTTAAAAGTTTTAAGTAGAATTGATTAATGTATACCTGCTTCAAAGAAATCTTTGGTAGGAAATTGATGATTATATTTTCATCTGAATAGACGGTTTTAAGAATTTTCCTCTAGTTTCCTGCCTAAGGTTGATTTGGTTGCCAAGAGAGGAAAAAGGTAGTGTGACCAAGTTAGTTCTGTTGAAAGTTGCGGCATTTGGTTATCAGGAAAGTTGTGGGCAAAGCAATTTAAAACTTATCCTACTGTGCAAACAAATGTAGGAAGATTGAAGGAAAATGGTTTCTTCTCCTTTTAAGTCTTGCCTTTTCTTTCCAAACCTTTATGTACAAGAAAGTGACTTCTGAACTTGCTGGACATCTAAAAGAAGCCTAAGGAAAAGGCTGCTCACATTTTATTTTTATAATAAGCCCAAAACTAAGGTCAATCATGCATACCACCTTCGAAATCACGAAAAGGTGATTTGATAACTTGATGTATATCTAATGGCTGCAGGTTAAGCTGTGGTGTGACTGCCCTTTTTGGCCTGATGATGGTATGTGTAAGTTACGAGATTGCAGTGTATGCGAATGTCCAGAAAATGAGTTCCCCGAATCTTTTAGGAGACCACCACTTGGCCTTGCTGCTGATGATCTAAAATGCCAAGAGGGAAAACCAGAGGCAGCTGTTGATCGCACTCTTGACTCTAAGGTTTTCAGGGGATGGATAGAGGTAGATAACCCTTGGACAGTTGATGATGAGACAGATAATGGTAATTGATCTATCTTTGTCAATACACAGTGGAAGGTTTTCCTTTCTACATTTTTGGGGTCTTGGTGTATCTTTCGATTCTTTCCAGACTTTTTGTTTGTAACTTCACCTATGAACAATTGCGTGATCAGCATAAGATGAAGCAAATCGAAGTTTGGATTTATCAATTTGCATTATATTGAAGTTTTTGAACTCAACGTTTGTATTGCATTGGGAGTTTAAAACTTATGTAATGCCGTGTGATTTCATTACTTCTTGAAGGTTTCTATTTAGATTACTAAATTGTTGAACTTCTTCATGCCAGGGGAGATGACATATGTCAATCTCTTGCTGAACCCGGAGCGTTACACCGGTTACACTGGTCCCTCAGCCAGGCGAATATGGGATGCTATATACTCAGAGAATTGTCCAAAATGTGAGTCAATGATCCTTTCAATTGGTTGAAACCATTTGTTTTCCCAATTTTCTTATGAGTCGTATTCTTAGAATTACATTCACAGGGGAGATCTTTGAAATGTGTAAACACCTTCTTAAGCTAACCTTTTAAATTGTTATAGTCTGCTACTCATGCAAATTACTTCCCCTTGTGGTGCAGTATTGTCTTTGTCAACTATTATACACATTATCATTGTGAATTGAACACAGAAGTTACAATTTTATGGGCAGATGCATCTGGAGAGATTTGCCAGGAGAAAAAGGTTTTATACAAACTAATATCTGGTCTCCACTCCTCAATCTCAATACACATAGCTGCTGATTACCTGCTTGATGAAACTAAAAACCAGGTTAGTTTGCATTTAATATGTAGCATGTTTCTATTATGGTTTGCCAGAAAATGGATAAACGACAATTGCATAAGTTTACAACAGCAGGGCGAACCTGTTACATCCACAAAATAATTCATTATGAAGTGTGCACTATTCTTTTTTCAGAGCACTTTAACCGCTAACTTGACTATTTTGCTGCAATTTTCAGTGGGGTACAAATCCAGATTTGATGTATGATCGTGTTCTACAATATCCTGAACGTGTCCGAAACTTGTATTTTACTTTCCTCTTTGTTCTCCGAGCTGTAACAAAAGTGAGAACTCGCTACATATGTCTATATTTTGGTAACTCCTAGAATGGTAACATTGTATAGATTTATTCATTGGGCTTCTCCCTTCTTGATGTGCTATACAGGCAAAAGATTACTTGGAGCAAGCTGAGTATGATACTGGTAATCCTGAGGAAGACCTTAAAGCACAGTCCCTTATTCGACAGCTACTATACAACCCCAAACTGCAGGCTGCATGTCCAGTTCCATTTGACGAAGCTAAACTGTGGAAAGGCCAAAGTGGACCTGAGCTAAAGCAGCAGATTCAAAAGCAATTCAGGAATATTAGGTTTCAATTGAACTGTTCTCAATTTAATTTCGTAAATTCAGAAAAGAAAGGCCTAAAGGATATTATGTTGCTTATACATGCTGCACTAATCCCCTTTGGACTCTATTTTGAGTCGACTGCATCAGTACATTTATATTTCAGTCTATGTATTCAAATGTACGCATATAATTACTCTGGAAAGAATTGGGAAGATGTTCTTTTTAGTGAGGTTGTATTGTTGTTAAGACCACAGAAAGAGCCAAAAATCTTGTGTATGCTGTTCAAAAGTAGTTGTTGCTATGTACTTTACCATATGACTGAACAATTTGTTATTCATGTTGCAGTGCTCTCATGGATTGTGTAGGATGTGAGAAATGTCGACTGTGGGGAAAGCTCCAGGTTCTTGGTCTTGGAACTGCATTAAAGATTCTCTTCTCAGTTGATGGTGAATATCGTCATGATCAACATGTGAGTTTTCTTTATTCTTTTTTCATTTGCTGACCTCTCTCTCTGGAACAAATACATGTTATTCACAGCCAACTATGTTTCTTAGTCTCTCTCTTCTTTTATGTTTTACAGCTGCAGTTACAAAGAAATGAAGTGATTGCTCTGGTAAACCTACTTAATCGCCTTTCAGAATCTATCAAGCTAGTACAGGAAATGAGCCCTACATTTGAGAAGACAATGAAGGGGCTAAGTCTACAGCCAGCTGCTAAGTTTATAAGTTCGTGGAATAGACTATTGAAAACAGTATTAGGAGATAGGTAAACACCACTCTCTTTTGTTTGTGATTAATGGTTCAAATCCAAGGGTGAAGTGCATTACTAAATTTTGCTATTCTTTCTTCTTAAAGCTTGAAACAAGGTAAATTTTAGCTTCGAGCTCTTAGACAAACATGTGGTTATTGTGTCAATATTTCTGTTGGCTGAAATGAATGGTTTTTTAAAGTCTAGACCAAATTTCAATTTGTCAAACTATAAAAAGAGGAAGGAGGAAGCAAAAACCTCCTCTCTGGTGCATCCATGATGATCGAGTGGTAATGTGGGAATGGTTTGGAAAATGGCATTTTATCCATGATGATCGAGTGGTAATGTGGGAAGAAGGGAATTAGCAACAGAATGCCATACAACTTGTTAACTTCAAATTTGATAATGAAGGTGAAGTGTCAGCTAAAATTAATTCTCATATTTGGTGTTCTGTTTTCAGGTTGAGGAAGCTTACATTGTAGCGGGTCATTTTGATACAATTTTGGTGTATAATGATGTAAAGAATGAATACAACTTAAACTATTGAAAGGTAAGAAGATTTCTACAGCCGGATAGCATACATGGATACACAGATTAATCGCGGGATCAGTGCTTAAATTTGGAAAGACGGGAATCCATTACTAGGTAAACTGGAAATTAGTATTGTGTCACTTGATCATATGTAACTTTATGGATCCCTTTGAAATGTTGTAACATTATTGTTGAAACTATATCTCTGTGTTCCTGAATGAAAAGTGACAATTTTGCTTCTAATATGAAGACAATGTTAGCATCCTGTTTTGGACAAAGTAAATTAGCAAATTTAGACAAGTAAAATAGGATGATTATTCATGCCTAATTACAATTATCCCTTAGTTATGAAATAATTAGCCCAAAGCTTTTTGCATATAAGAAGATAAAATTGACGCACACTCATCGATGCGGGGACAATTCAACACCACCCCCCAGCTTTAGCTCTCGGAACTCACTTGTAAACACATAAAGACACCTAGATTCTTTGCCTTTGCTCTTTACAACACTTTTTTAGTTATAAATATTTCTTTTAATAACTAATTGAATATTCAAACTGTTAGCAAATAAACCTAAAAAGAGTTAGCTTAAGACATGTAATTTTTAACCTCATATAAATTCAACTGTACCACTTTTAGGATAAACACAAATTTATTCAACATTATAAATTGAGGAATCATTACTCGAATCTAACTTTAAATGTGATATATTTGATATTTCTATGCCAAATCAACTCGAATATCATGGCAGGCAATGATATATTGGTATTATTACCAAAAAAAAGAAAAAACCCAAATTGCATGAACCAACAAGTAATTTAACACTACATCTTTATTAATTTTTTTTGTGTACACGAAAGCGGGAAAAAGATAATAAAGGAAGACCCATATCACCGACAATATGTGGTCAATTCTGAAAACAATAAAATTGATTTTATCATAGATAATATAACGAATTCTTTTTAGGTACTCAAACAAATTAATTTTAAAAAACAATATAAAACTTAACAAAAATTGGATGATTTAGATTATGACCTGGTTATAGACTATTTCAACAACCCAAATAACTTTTAAGTAGATTGTTGATCCGTCTATTTTACGCCTCTACCTAAAATGTCTGAATAGTTCAAATTATATGCGGCGCACCTAAAATTAGAACACGAACATCACGATCTAAACAAAGAACAAAAGGCAAAAACAATTAGGCATTAGCGCGTTAGATATATAGAAATAGAATAGCTGTGTTTATGTCAATTGTCAATCTTTCCCTTTTTGAATTTCGGCTAATAATTGGTGTGTCACTCTCAACCAACCCCACCCATTATACTTCCAAACAAACGCGTTACATTTCAATCTTTTCAAATTCACAGCTATTTTCTTCATTTTATTTCCCTTCTTCGATCCTTCCTCATCCCTTTATCAAATTCTACTATATATTTAATATCCTCCTTTGTGTCTCAATCTCAAAACACACACATTTACAATAAGAATCTCTAATTTATCCCTTTAAATCACTACTATAATTTTCTATAATGTTGCTGCAGCTATCTGTGCTTGCGCTTGTCTTACTATCCCCTGTTTGGGCTGATAATTTCTACCAAGACGCGACGGTCACGTTTGGTGACCAGCGCGCTCAGATACAAGATGGAGGACGCCTTCTCGCCTTGTCCCTTGACAAAATTTCAGGTTCCGGATTTCAGTCTAAGAATGAATATTTATTTGGAAGGTTTGATATGCAGCTCAAACTCGTACCTGGAAATTCTGCTGGCACTGTCACCACATTCTACGTAAGTAATAACACACTTTTCGTATTCTTACTCTAACTAATTAACAAAAAAAACATGTCCACTCAAGTGTTTTTTTGGTGTAATTTGCAGTTGTCTTCTCAAGGAGCAGGGCACGATGAAATTGATTTCGAGTTTCTGGGAAATTCATCAGGACAACCTTACACTGTTCACACCAACGTTTACTCTCAAGGAAAAGGCAACAAAGAACAACAATTCCGCCTCTGGTTTGATCCAACTTCGTCGTTCCACACTTACTCTATTGTTTGGAACTCTCAACGCATCATGTACGTTACAAAATAAACCAAAACAATTACAAATAGTTACTTAGTGTTTATAATGTCTGACATTTTGGGGATTTTTTTTTCTAATTGTTCAGATTTTTGGTGGATAATATCCCAATAAGAGTGTTCAACAACCACGAAGCACTTGGTGTTGCATTCCCAAAGAATCAAGCTATGAGAGTTTACGCGAGTCTATGGAATGCTGATGACTGGGCTACACAAGGAGGACGGGTGAAGACGGATTGGTCAATGGCTCCGTTTACAGCTTCTTACAGGAATTTCAATACAAATGCTTGTGTTTGGTCAGCTGCTACGTCTACTTCGTCTTGTGGAGGTTCTAAGACTGAGTCAGTAAACAATGATCAGACATGGCAAACTCAACAACTGAACGCTAATGGCAGAAATAGGCTACGATGGGTTCAGCAGAAGTACATGATCTACAATTACTGTGCGGATGCTAATAGGTTCTCCCAAGGCTTTTCTCCTGAATGCAAGCGTTCAAGGTTCTAAGGATATAGTATATGAATGTAAAATTATGTTTGTTTCACTTTTCTATTCTTTAATTTTGCTCTGAGATATCAGAGGAAAGTGTAATTATTTGTGTATGCAATATATTCTTTATTCTTTTTGATATCATGAAATAGAAACCACAATGCTTTTCATTTTCAAATCTAGAAAAAAGACGAGCTATTTAGACAGTAAAATACCAAATGTACAGACGACAAAATTAGTAATTTTGAGTCAAGCAAAGGAAACAAAGGGTACATTTACATGTAATTATGATAATCAAATCTTTTAACAATTATTATTTCTCTAACAAATAATAATTCATTTATTTTTTATAGGTGTACACCATGAAATAGATAATGATTTACTATCCATAATAAGGAAGACATATGCTGATTGAACTTCCATCAGTTATCACATTTAACCTTTGCACAAATGCTCATCCAGACTAAGCATTTTCCTTGTTATCTGTATTATAACAAATAAGAATACAGTTGTTCTTTTGATAGTGCTTCTGTCATTTTATTTCGACAATAGCATAAGCTATAGTCACTTAGAACTCAAGGATACAGTGGTACTAGCCTATAGAACAGATCCTGTAGTACAATAGTATGTCCGAGAAGAAATGAAGACTGACAAGAATGTAGCAGCATATATACATTTTGAAATGTTATATTTCAAGGTATTAGGAGACGCTGCAGCTTGATGCGATAGATGTAAAATAGTATAACATGTTCCATGATGACTCCAACATTTATGAGCTGCGGATTGAGTTGGAAAAATGTTATATGCTTGCTTGCCTACTCGGTGATATAAGAAAAAAAAAATGAAGGGTAGTCAAGAACGATGCTCTATGGCTCCATGACCCCTGAAAGGCCACGGAGGGTGTAATCATGCGTTGGTCCATGGTCGCGGTTTCTGATCTCCTTAGTAAGGTTGTGCTAATCAATGTTGCTACAATGTAATATGAAGAAATCAAATGATTAGTTTTCCAATTTTGGATTAGGTATTGACATGTTTTTGTGTTGAATTTTAGGTGATTAGGTCTGCTAATATTGATGAATGAAAAGATAACCTAAGTTTTCTTACCATAGATTTCTTTTGTTAAAAAGAACTTGAGCAAGAAAATTGTTTGCGGTATTCAGAAATTCAGAAAAACAAATAATTTTCTACTCAAGTTCTTCTGTAACCAAAAAAAATAAATAGGGAAACTAGGCCATGGGCCTTGTTGATCACTCATTGACCTCGTTCAGAAATTCTGCATTCTTATTTGTTATATGATGTACCTTGCAATTAATAATTTAGGTTGAATTGACTCATCATTCATTAATTTGAGCTTGTATTTATTCTTCAAATTCAATGTAATTTATCACATTTCATATATTACTAAAAGTGGGAAGCACCTATCTTCAAAGGTAGATTATAATTTTACCCTTATACCTAATCAAAATGTAATAAATACAACATCTAATCTAATTAAATAGTCCATTTGTCCCTAATTACTTGTCCATTTTTTAATTGGCACACCTATTAAGAAACAATTATTGATATAGTGAGTTTATCATTTTATCCCTATTAATAGTGGCAGAGTCAGAATTTTCAATAAGGGGGTTCAAAATCTGAAAAAATAGACACACGAAGTAGCCGAAGGGGGTTCGACATCTACTATATATACCTAAAAAATTATTTTAACCATATAAATATGATATAATTTTCCGCAGAAGGGGGTTCAGATGAACCCCCTAATGATAAGGTGGCTCCACCACTGCCTATTAATGATGAAATGAATGTATTAAAAAGTTAAGATTTTCAAAAAGTTCTACCTTTTTCAAAGTAATTAATTGAGTGTATAA